ATACAAACTAGTCTGTGACAAGGTATGAAACACTGGTCACGTGATGGATCGATGTGTGCCCCAGGTTTCATACCTTGTCACAGACTAGTTTGTATCCCGCGAGGCGCGCGATAGTGACGTAATACCACAGGTAACCCACAGCGCACGCCGACTCGATAACATAATATAAAAGCGTGCGCATCCATTCTTTTCTTTCTCTCAAGCAATAGTTGGGTAGCCTATGGATGTGCGGGCGTTGCTGCAATCTCGAGCCCAGAGTCTTCACGGCTAATGTCAGCGGTATGCTGACGCCGGAAAGACTCCAATCTCGAGCCCAGAGTCTTCACGGCTAATGTCAGCGGTATGCGCATTGAATTCCGCTGGATGGCAAAAATGTTGGCTCTGGGTACGAGATTAGCGACGTTGCTGCTCGCTGCTAAGGCTATGATGTCACCCGATATTATGTTTTATAAAATTCATTCTTTTCTTTCTCTCAAGCAATAGTTGGGTAGCCTATGCTCTTTCTTGTTCTTCTTCAATTCTATCCTTTTTTCTTGCCTATTATATCATCTACTTCTTCTACACATTATTTCTCTTCATCTTGATATATTCATCTTTTCTTCTTCGTCTAAAAGCTCGAYCTTTCTCATAGGCTACCCAACTATTGCTTGAGAGAAAGAAAAGAATGAATGCGCACGCTTTTATATTATGTTATTTCTAAATTATGCAAAATAGTACATGTTGAACAAAAGAAAACACAAAGAATTATCAAATAAAGTTGTCAAGAAAACGGCAATTGGCAACTGCCCTCAATTGTTGAAATTATAACTAATGCAAGATATCTATACATTTTTTATTTACTATCATTATATGACTTATATCATAACAAATAAATAACAAGTCGCGTCTTGATTAAAAAAAATGATAAAAATTATATTAAAAGAAATGAATACAAGATAGCATAACATGTATAATGTAATATTTCTTTGCTATCAAAGATATACTGATCCCCTCGCTCCCTGTTTCGGTAATATTATAATTATAATATAGTACTTCCGTACTCTCGATCCCTCGTCGTCACGTGGTCTAAACAAACAGTCTTCGGCTTTCGCCGTGGCTAACAGTTTATTAATTCTATTCTTGAGCTGATAACTATACTCTTTTCAAAGTGAATCACCATCGATTGCTTTGGCGTTCATCAGTGCCTTTAKAACAACCCTATGCCAGTCAGCACTAGTTTCGGTTACTTTGATTGACAGCATCAATCAAACTGAGGCTTTCCCTTAGCGATGGGATCCTTGATAGGTCCGGTCGGTAAGAACTTTGGTTGAACAAAAACTTTGTCTTCAGGCACTGCGACTGTGGAATACAATGGAATCAAAGTTTCTTCATTTTAAAGTTCATATCCACGAGTAAACTAATCAAAGTTTACATTCACAGATCCACGAGTATTCTCACCTTCTTCGTCCTCCTCTATCCGCACCCGCTCCCAGATTAGCAGGCCTGTGTCCAGTCCACCAGTAGATACAAGAAAACGGTCATCATGGGTCCAGCGCACATTGGTGACATGGGACGAATGACCATTGTATTGTCGAAACCTTGCGCCACGTTGCTACGATTGTTTAATAGAAATGTTTAAAAATGGCACAAACGAGCATMTTGTCTGTTGCAAGATTTGATTTCGATTAGTTCATCACTTKCTATAATYACACGAGCACAAATCGTCTATTTTTATACCCACCGAGACGGGATAGTWGAACAGCTTCACCATACCAAAGTCGTCTCCACTTGCCAGAAGAACCTGATCATGTGATCTCGCCGTAGAGTTCACATCAGTGACGTCAGTCATTGGAGGATACACACCTTTCACCATTGGTCCAAGTACACAGGTAAATGTCGACCAATCAATTCTTTCCATGTCGTGGTTTGTGAGGGTCTGGCGACGACAGTGAGGAGCTTCGTAGAATAAMTGTTCCCGTGCACCAGAATTGGTTTGTAAGAGGCGACCTGGGTATGAGATCAATATAAGACAGTTCAATGGSTGATGCTAAAAGCGCAAATCACAGTCACGCATGCGTAAATCTTTTTGCATAAATTTTTATTCATTGGCTTGTTGATGAATAAAGACACTTTGGGAAATATCTTCCATGGATGGAAGTAAATGAGGCCATGTTCTTAAACGTTTTCTCTAGCCGCGACACATATTTTACATATCTGGGGATCTAACGACCGCCAAAGGCGTAAGTGTCAAGGGAGTCTGGACCTCCCCCAGGAACTTTTGAAATAATAACTCTTGCAAATGCGATTTCCATCGTTTTGAGAGACATTGAGGGCATATAATAGGGATCAATTTTAAGTGAATTTATCAGTAACTTTTGTGGAAAATTTAATATTTCCTTGCACGTGCGTATATGCGTTAAGGACGCTACGCGCCCGACTGTGACAATGATTGCGATGTCTATCAGATAGCTCCTCAATTATTTTCTATACCTTTGACATCCCAATCTAAGTGTGTGATGTAACTAGAGCTGCCTTTGCAAACKCCCGTCCTCTTGCCTCGTTTAACACTGTAAACGTCCACGAAATTGTCGTGGGAGCCAACAGCAAGGAATTTGCCATCTATAACAAATAAAAGCGACTGTATGTGAAGACATTAATGAAGACATGTTAATAATACTAGAAATTTGCTATTACTCTCGCTCTCATGATTCTTGTGATTTCATAATAAAATCAGTAGGATAGATGGCTATGGTTTGTGGCACTTTACCTGGAGAAAATTTAATGTCTGATATCTCCTCCTTTCTGTCCTTGTACCCAACAACTTTTTCGAGCGTGGTAGCTTCCAGGATCAAGAATCCCCCATCATTTTGACCAACGGCGAGCGACCCTCCATCTGGGGAATACGCCACGGCACGGCCACCCTTTTTCATTTTCTTAACTTGCTTTAGAAGATGCGTATTTAGGTCCCAGACCCTAAGGGTCTTATCGTCGCTCACAGTAACGCATTCGTTCTCTGTTGGGTGTGTGTCTAGTCCCCAAACTTCTCCCTCGCCATGCCCCTTTGAAAAAGAAAGGTAACAACTTTTTAGGACGCTCGCATGAATTCAGCAGTGGGCTCATATCCTATTCACATCCGATCCCAACATATGCAGGCTTAGTATGCGTCAAAAATATAGAAATGYTTARTCCAAACAATGAAGTCGTTTCAATTGGTGTCGTCATTTACCTGTACCCATATCGTCATCATGCCATCAGTCCCAATTTCAATTATCTGAAAACATATAAGAAATCATCAAAAAAGGGGAAAAGTGGAAAAAAGTAGAAMGTAAAGAGAAATAGGAAATAGTGCCAAATTCAACACAAATTTCTGGCAATCGTTTGTTTCCCTTCTCACTTGCCGAATTGAATTTTCCATATKCCTTAATTCGTCACTAAAACGGCGGACTAGACTGGACGCCTTCCTCAGAGGATATTGGCAGATTTACTTTACGTTACAAGCAGACATMACTCTCACTTTCTTTCTTACTACTATATAAGATGTTACGTACTTCTTCACAGGGAAAGGCTACATGCCACCACTAAGTTACCTACCTCATCATTTCCTGTACCAATTAGAATCTTATCTTCATCGGTATGAATGGCTCTGATCGGTGGAAGATCATGCAATAACACTGAGCCGGGGTTCATTACACTGTTCTCGACCTTGAATGCTTTCAGACAATGCTCAAAGAACTTATCCCACATTACAACTACTCCATCTCTTCCACCAGTCACAAAGCCCTAGAATTAACATAGGGTGAATTATTAGCATGGTTGTATAAATAACCTCTTGGTAGGAGACGGACGATGCAAATCCTGTACGTAGATTATAGGACGAGATATTTCCACGGATTGCACGAATTGAGAAAGGCTGTTTTTAAGGAGCGACRCAAGCGCAAACACATTAGAAAGGGTTTACTCTGCACTRTGAAAGAGTTTACTCTTGCGCTGTGCTTCCTTTCACTAGCAAAACCAAGCGCAAACATAAGGAAAAATGTTTTTTTTTATAAATTACGCTTGTGCTTGCGCTTGTGTCGCTAGTAAAAACTAGGTTGGTTTCCCATGTGCAAATCCATTTATAAGAGATTAATCATGAAAGAAACTAAGAGGATGTGAAGTCTTGATAGCAAGAAAGTTTAAGGTTGCAGTGAAGTATGAAATGACAGAATTTCAAAGTGGAATGAGGTTAGTACACTTACAACATTTGAAGATTGTTGTCCACCAGGAAGAGAACTCTGACAGAAAGTGTTGCAAGAGAAATGAAATCAAGGCAGAGAGTTAGTAGTAAAGACTTTTGAGTCATTTGTAGGAAGAAACAGAGTTAATGATTGCAAAATATAGTTTTCTACTTTATTCAATGCTTTACATAAGTAAAATTTCATTTCATCTGCTACATAGCCTTGGTCCRTAGAGAGAGCATGTTAATTAAAAGTAAAAGTAGAAAGAAGATTATATTATTGTTGACTACCAACCTCATTCTTTGATTGRCTGATTGAGTACATAGCACACACAGCTCCTTTGTGTGCCTGGACAGTCCTCCTAAGGGTGGTACCTTGCCATACATACACAGTTCCGTTGTCAGAWCCGCTAAAGCACAGGTCATCAATGGCACTGTGACAGACRCACAGCATKGTAGCTGCAGTTCCTGCTTTGCCAAAAGTCACAGGACGCTTTTCAATC